TTCCTCATCGAGCAGTGGCCTAACCTTCAAGCTCCACCCTCTGGTGATCGTCAACATCTCCGATCACTACACGCGAGTCAAAGCGCAGAATCTCCACTCCTCTTCCTCCTCAACCGCGGCCAATGGCGCCGCCGCCCCTCGCGTGTTCGGGTGCGTCATCGGAGTCCAGCGTGGCCGCACTGTTGAGATCTTCAACAGCTTCGAGCTTCTCTTTGATCCCGTCACCCAAACCCTAGATCGGCCTTTCATCGAGAAGAAGCAAGAGCTTTGTAAGTTGATTCTTTTAGGGTTTCTGTTACTGCCTTTAGTTGATTCTCTAGTTCAGTTACTTTTTGCTGTTGATTTTTCTCCTTATGTGTGTATATACCATATACCCCATTGAAACTGTAATTAGGGTTTATCGAATTTCACGATTAAATAAATAAATATTTTAAATTTGGTGAGATATCAGTAGTTGAAATCAGCATTTTAGTATCAAGCAGATTTACAATGATGCCATATGAGAGAAATCTTCTGCAACTTTCTTGTAATAATGTTTAATTTCTATAGTACATTTTCCTTGCTTTTACTTGTAGCTCCGTGTTTAAGTCCACAATTACCCTGGAGTTTTTTATGGAAATTTATATACCACTGGAATTTTTCCTGGAATTTTTTATACCAAATCTAAGGACAAATCAAGCTGACGATGCCGTGAAGTTTGTGGAGAGTAAAGGACCAAAAGTTTCAAATATAAGCAAGGACGAGAAATTTTTTTCCTTGGTTTTCACTATTTTGTTAAATTGTCCATTGTCCGAAACATGGTGAGACATAGTTTTTGGCAAAAGCATTACTGAAACAAGGCAATGCTCGATTTTCTCTCTAGTTGCAATTATGGTATTGTGTGGAAAGAAATGACTTTATTGTATAACAAGGGCCTTCTGCAAGGACCTTTTTGCCATCCCAATTTATTCTATAGTAATATTTACTAGAAATCCCTTCAGTTGTATGTAAGCAAAAGTGAAAAACTGCTATCATCAATGATACTGCTTTCCCAAACAGCCGTCTTCAGCCTCATAGTTTGTCAAGAAGGCCATTGTTCATGACATGTATATATCTTATAGCATTTCTTTACTATTATCTCGTGAAACTTCTCAAGGATGGACCTCTTCTTTTGCATGTATATCGTGTGGACATAGTTAGAAAAAGGTAGGTGTTTAATACTTCTTTCCTTTGCTCTTTTTTCCTGTTCCAATTGGGTGCGTGAAGGGGTATTCATGACTTTGGGCCTACTCTTGGAATTTACCTTTTTATTTGATTCGTCTAATATATCATATTTCAACATGTGATGCAGACAAAAAGGTCTTCCCAGATTTTTATATATTAGGGTGGTATTCAACAGGGAGTGATGCTCAGGAGTCCGATATGCAGATACACAAAGCTGTAAGTTCATCTTTTTTACACTGATTTATTGTATACTTTTGTTATGTCTTTCTTTGTTTCTTTGCACTTTATTGCTTGTTTTGCATTCACGGTTAGTAGAGGACTGGGTTCACCTTCTCTGTCGGCGAATTTGTTGTATAGTCTTGAGGAAAATTTATTAGGGTCCAGCTTTTTGAAAGAAATGGAGTGGCAATCAACCACGGAGTATGTACGTAACTACATAAAACAAGTTTATATGAATAAAAACTCAAGATCTGGTGCAAAGTTTGGATGTTCATGCTAATCTTCTTATAAGATTCATTCATAAATTAAATTGCTGTGTGCCCTTTCTGAGTTCTCATCTACTCTCTCCACTGAGGACCACAAATGCAGCTATATCTTTTCTTAAAAGGGTCTTTCTTTTAATAGCAATCATCAACAGCCTCATGCTTTGGTAATAAGCCAAAAATTTTATTCTATTAGTTGTAAAATGTCATACTGTTATAGCTATTTATCATCAATCTTTGCTTGCTTATTATATCTGTGTCCAACTTCTTCTCCCACACACCCAAAAAAATAAAACCTTCCACTTGCATCTTTGGATAGGGATAGGTATAGGATGATATTGTATAATACATGACTCAGGAAACCATTCTGGCTAAGTGGCTGTGCATCTCAATATGAAGATTACACAGCACATGTATGACTCGTCTCATCTTTATGGGATTTGGCATTATATGTAATGTTGTCATTACTCATATGTTTTTGCCTCGGCGGTTTTAAGAAACAGACCCATTTTCCTTGATATTTACACAGAAGAGTTTGAACACCGTGCTTAAACTGAAAAAGCAAGCTGGAATCCTGCATAATGGACATAACCATGTGCCATATGGTATTAACCCCCCTCCCCCACCCCAGAGAGAGGTGGGGGCGTGTAGGAAGCAATTCAAGGTATTAATCTTTATTGTATACCATAGATTATGCAAAAACGAGCATGTGCCTTCTCATGTTTAGGGTATTTTGCCATGGGAGATGATCTTGTCATTTCTGTGTGTTCATGTTACCTGCAATGTTTCAACAAGGTTGATATGGTACCTGGTATACCTATCCAAGAAAAAAAAACCCTTCACGTTAAATGCGATTCCCCATAATAAACCTATCATTATAATTCTATGATTTAGAATCTTTCAAGGTAGCAGAATTTTGGTTGTACATGTTTAAACTGCATTTTGCAAGTGTCTTTCACATCCATAAATACCTTGTGACTTGTGTCACGAAACTTGCCCCAATTTTAGAGGATCGGCGACTGGTTACTAGAGTTTTGTCTGCCTTTTGATTGTACAAGTTTAAACTGCATTTTACAAATGTCTTTCACATCCATAAATACCTTATGTCATGAAATTTGCTCGAATTTTAGAGGATCGTTGACTGGTTGCTAGAGTTTTGTCAAATAGATTAAACAAACTGCGGCCAAAAAAACAAAGTAAATAAATTTTAATATAGTAACTTGTTAGACTTTTAAATGCGACAAACAATAGTACTCATCTTATCATTGGAGGTTTTTTATTTTCAGTTGAAAGGAAGGATGAAGATTTTGGTTTTTTAACCATGCCATGTGCTATTTATATCCTTAAGGTTGACCATAAGCCTTGTTTTCTGTGATAGCTATAACTTTCATCCTTGAACTGGTTGGCTGATTTATCCTTAGCTTACTTGATAAGACCATGAATTGAGTCCTGTTCAAGTTTAGTAGATCATCCAAAACAAGCTACCAGCTGATGAGCTTTGCTTAACGTATGTCTGTGAGCACTTTAAACAGCTGGTTTGCACTTGGACTAACAAAAGTACCTGCCTGCCGATGATCTTTGTGAAACTAAAGCAGTAGGCACTTTCTCATAGTTAAATATTTCCAAGAGTAACTTTCAGAATGATTTTATCACAAGTAAAAGATCTGAAATTATGTTTGATTTGATTTATGCTGTTGTGGTCTTGAACTTTTACCCTTGAGTCTGACTGTATTCTGAACGTACCGACTCATTTGGTTAGTGGTTGATGCTTTCATTCGTACACTAGACAATAGTCACAATATGCTTTTGTTTTTTTTAAATGATGACCACCCGTAGCTGTAGTTTCTGAAGATGGCAGCATAAATTCCCTGCTACTACAAACTATCTTTGCAACTTGGACTTCTTGCTTAAATATCTTTTTTTGGTGCAGTTGATGGATATTAATGAAAGTCCTGTTTACCTTATTCTGAATCCATCAATTAACCATGCCCAGAAGGATCTACCTGTGACGATCTATGAAAGCGGTATGTGAGCTTGCCTTTAGCCTAGAATATGTATTACACTAATTTAATTTCTTTCTCACAGTTACTGATTACATATTTGATTAAATTAAGTGTGAGCTTAACTGAAAGGCTTGCAACGTATGATTATCTTGCAGTTAAATGTTAAGCTGATGGGCTTTAAACATATGTCACCGCATGAGAATGTCAAACTAATATTGATGTTTTTTTTGGATGAATTGTTGATGGAATGATTTAATGTTTGAAGACTTGCCTTCAGTAGGACAAATGATGTGATGATAGTAACGAGCAATGTTGTACTGGATGACAAGAAAACCTGAAGAAACATGGGTGTTATCAAGTAATGTCTTGCTTATCCTAGAAAGAGTCATTTGTTTAGAAACCATCATCTTCCTATGTCAAGTCATAGCTACCTGGGGAACTCTCAACCTTTTATCTTTGTGCAAACTTAATTTACATATTTGCCCTAAAAAATTCAAACTTCATATAATTGAAAAATGGCTTGACAACAGTGCAACACCTAATAAAAAATGATATATTCTAACTTAATAATCAAAATCAGGGACTCAAAACTTGTAGTGTTCTTTGATTACTCCTGCTCCAGAATTCCCTAAGATCAAGAATATTAAGAAATAGTAGGAGGAAAGTTTGTAGATTTGCTGTACAAATTGCATTCATTACTAACCAGTGATTACAATTTTTTACATGACTAGGGCCAGCTTGGTATTGCTGGAGCTTATAATAAGTTGCTTATAAAAGCTTCTTATAGAAGCAACTTGTATAAGCTACTGAAAATAGTTTGGTAATCAAATGTTAAAAAATTATAGGGTTACTAATCCAACTTATTTCATTTCAGAATAGAAGGGAGAAATATCACCCACAACAAGAAATTATAGGGTCAGTAAAACATCCCATATAAGCTAGTTATATAACTATGAAGCTATTTATACTTTATAGTTGCAAAAATCTTCTTCTGTTGCAAAAATTGTTGCCCTAACTGTTTCTCTTCTAGACGACTGGGCGGAAACCAAGACCAAGACTCCAACCTTGATTAATGTCAGTTAAATAAGTTATTAGTTCTCTCTAAATTGCTTAATTCAGAAGATACCTGATTATGTAAATCCATTTGCCTAAGGAGCTGCAAGAGTACACTTCTTTATTGTTTCTGCCTATGCTTTAGAAGCTGACTGAAGTTGATAATTTCTTACTCGAGAAAGTTCTATCTCTGAACTATTGACAATCAGATCGCAAGAACTATTGATTAGGTCCTACACCCTTTCCATAACTTCAAATTTTCAATAAACACTAGACAAATTCCATATTTGTGAACTAATTAGGTGAACCGGTTCGTGAAGTTTTTTTATTCTTTTCATGAGAAAGCAGTCACCACTACTTCGGTAGACAATGCACCTATCAGAAATAGCTATACTCAATTAGCTTGTAATCACTATGCAAATTGGACTGTCAACTTTGTCCATCTTTAACTTTAAATGAGAGAAGATTTCTTTATACTTAATTATAGCACATGTTAATTACGGAGTTATAATAAATAGTTATACTCTATGCTTATGTTTCTTATTTATGTTCTGAAATCTGTTTTTTATTGACATTTGGCCTTTTATATCTGTGGAATTGTTTTGCTGGTACTCAAAGAACTACATGTCATTGATGGGATTCCTCAGCTTATATTTGTAAGGTCAAATTACACAATTGAGGTTGGTCTTCTTCCTGAGTCATGTTATGTTATAAGCTAATCTTTGTACCATGTATATATATTAAAATGTATGCTTCCTTTCATTAAGACTGTAGAGGCTGAGCGGATTTCCGTTGATCATGTCGCACATCTTAAGCCATCTGATGGGGGCTCCGCTGCAACTCAATGTGAGATACCTTTCTTAGCCTCACTGGTTGTATATATTTGTGTAGTTAGGAGTTTAATTTCCATTGTATTTATAAATAATAATCATTGCCTGAATTGAATTGAGAACACTGACGGACATGGGTTCGTTGAGCAGTGGCTGCACATCTTACTGGTATACATAGTGCTATAAAAATGCTGAACAGCAGGATCCGTGTACTCCACCAATATCTTCTCGGCATGCAAAGAGGTAAAAATGCACATACCTCTTGGGCCGGGTGCCTTAATCATTCCCCCATTCGCTCTTTTAAATTTTATATTTATTATTCGTCACATATTGTTACTTGTTAGTGCCTTCAATTAGGCATCAAACCTGATCAGTGTGTTATTTCCAAAAGCTTTTTGGCTTGCGCTAACAAGGTTGATGTGCTTTTATTGAACATGTAGGTGATATTCCCCTTGATCATTCATTGCTGAGACAAGTTTCAAGTCTTTTAAGAAGGTTGCCAGCCATGGAATCAGAGAAATTTCAGGATGATTTTTTGATGGTACGTCTCCTTGCAAACTGCAGTTATATTTACGTGCATGCAAATCTATGCTTAATTGCATGAGTAATGAGTATACAATGTTCTTTGCTAGATGATGTTGTGCTGTAAAATGACGGTCCAATTATGATTTAACTTGCGTTTCTGGTTGAAGTAGGGTGGTTTGAGATACTGGCCTTATATTTTGTTATTCATGAAACCTTGAATCACCACATTTTTTTTTCTTTTTTCAGGAATACAATGACACACTGCTCATGACCTACCTAGCGATGTTCACAAATTGTTCAAGGTATACCTACTTTTTATTTAACATATGTTTGAGAAGGGTAGATACTACAAACTACAACATTGGTGCTTGTAAGAGAATATAGGAGTCACCTTCCCTCTCTCACTTTATTCACTTAAACATATCTATCATTTAGCATAATCAATATGATTAAAAGGAAAAATACGTTGTATAGGGTATAACAGGAGATTGGACATCTCCCTCCACATCCATTGACCCCTTTGCTTGCAGCAGCGAATTAGACTATTATTCCAGTGTTACTGGCATCAAAGCACATATGATGTTATTCAGATTTCAGCATCAGCTGAATATATGATAAACTAATTTCTAGTTTATGGTCTGTTTGCATACGATCCACATCGGTTATATGGGTAACTTGATGTGGGTTTATAAGGGATTTGGATTCCCCCCCTCTACAAGCTAGCTTTTAGAGGCAAGTTCTCTTTGGGGTCCTTACACTGTCTCTACTAAATTTGCGACTGTGGCATAAGTAAAAAAAAAAAAGGCAGACAGTTGTAGATTCATACGCTTTCTTTTTCTAATTTCAGTTGTAATGAAGAATTTACTGATATGAATTGCCATGATTGTTCCTCTCTTCAATTTTTTGTACTTCTTTTCAGCACCATGAATGAAATGGTGGACAAGTTCAACACCATCTACGACAGACATACTAGAAGAGGAGGTCGATCTGCCTTCATTTAGCCAGGCATTGCTGTTTTTGTGATTCATGCCAGAAGACCCCTTTAGTTACTTGGTTACAGAGCTTTTTGCAACTAATATCATCCCAGCTGCAAAGATTTTGTTTAACATGGATATGATTCGACTCTGAAGTCTATATATATCACTGCTAAGAGTGTACGTAATTCATCTACTGGTACTTGAAAGAATATTGTTTGCTCACCTGAGAGTAACGGGAAACCAAGACGAGTGGTAATACCACGCTACTTCTTGTTGGTTTGGGGGTGTATCGGTCTTGCTTAGTTTTTGTGTATTCAGAGTACATAATGTTATATGTGAATGGTGGTCTTAAATCGGGCGGCAAAGTACTACAGTATGTTGATCCTACAAGAGGCAATTTAAGGTTAGTGAGATCGACCCCAAAGATCTAAATTCAATGGAGATCACGGTATCTTTTGACAATCTATATTCAGCAGTTGGTATCGGAGTCGGATACTGATATTGGAGAGATTTAAGGTCGATGATTCTCTTCTAAACACATAAATTTCATTTAATATTTTTTTTTTATAAAAGCAACGTTAGGCATCTTTAAATATGTTTAGATAATTTGTATAAATCATGTTTCTTAAGAGAAAAGCATACCTTGTAAGCAAAGAGGTAAATAAACTAGATAAGAAAATAGAACTCAAAGATTTATATCCGTATCTGATAAGAAATTGTTTGTTTGTTTAGCATATATGCATTAGTTTTACTAGTATTAGTCCCGTGCTAAGCATGCCCTAGTGTTTTGTTTTGCACATCTAGTTGGGATTCGTCTGGTAACGTTAATTTTGTTGTATTTTTTACTCTATCAAGTTTGAAACAACTAAATAATAAGATACAACAAACACCAAATGGTATAATCATAGTTGACAATTGACAAAATTTTACTCTATCAAGTTTGAAACAATCCAATAATAGGATAACCTCAACCAAAATTTACTGTAGATTGAGCAGTTCTATTAAGTTTTAAAATTTTATTGTTTCACTAATAGTGTTGTGGTGGTTGAGAATTTTACTGCACGTCAAGAACAATGTTTTAAGGTTCAAATTTCTGTTATTTCATGAGCAAATGTTTTGATGGTTCATAATTTTACTTAGCATGGATAGTGTTTTACAATAACATGAAACAGTAGGGGTGCATTCGGTCCGGATACGGCTCGGATATGATGCTTATCATATCCATATCCGCTTACCCATCTCAGATATGGATACATATACGGACACATCTCGGTAAGGAAAATTCATATCTATATCCGCAAAATTCGGATACGGTTACGGATATATAAGCAAATATGCATGCGGATACAAAACGGATATGAGGAAACTAGATAGTATTGAGAAAAATATAGTTCTTGTGATACAAACGAATTCGTTAATACGTTCATTATAACTGAAAAAGCGAAGGTTAGACATATTGATCATCAAAATTAACCACAAATCCATAATCTAAGAATGAAAACTATCGAAAGAGTATGACCAATATGTATTCGAATATTTCGGATACGGATACAGATATTTTACTACAAAACAATATTCTATCGGTTATAGATTTGAGTAACCAAATCCGCATCCTCATGGATACAGTTACAGATATTTTTTCGGATACAGATACGGTTTAGCATCCCCATGAAACAGTGATTTCAAGGCTCTGCTTTTAAGTTAAAAATAGTAGATAAGCTATTGAATGATTTGAAGTATCTAAATTCGAAAACCATGTCAGATTGGGAACACATGGTGGATTATCGGCCATATAAATCAAGCCAACATTTCTCAAGTTAAATAAATAAATAAATAACGATAAATGTTTAAAAAACACACCTACATCTACATTATACTAATAAACAATTGCTAGAGTTTGCACCACTTGACACTTAATTAAAATGTAACTTTTCGTTTTTTTTACTATCATTTACTATTCCATATTTCTTTTTCCTACGATAAATTTTCTTTTCTATGCTTTCTACATCTGAAAATACGAAATGTTCGACTTTCTTGACATTAATGAGTCGGTAACTGATGTATAGTTGTTATTCTGAGACATCGCACGCGTAAGCGTTTCATCTCGCATTAAAAAACAAACAGGGCACAGGTCAAGCTCAGTCGGATCCGACCCGACCCGACCCGACCCGTTCGCGCTCGAAGTTCCGACTCTGGGTTTCTGCGGCGTTCTCCGGCTCCACGCGCTGTTGAGGTGTGGAAGACTCACAGCCTCCTCCTCTTCCCTCCCTCCGTAGGTTTTTTTTTTTTGCTTTTCAACACAAAAAAAGTTACGCCCAAAACCCTAAACCCTTATTCATCCCCGCGTCGAAACCTCGTCTCCTCTCTAATCTAATCGATCTCTCAGTCGCAAGCGATGATCAAGGTAAGCCTAGGTTTCCCTTCTAATTTCCTCTTGTATTTTTGAAATTCGTAAACTTTTGCTCATTGTCCATCTTCAATCCATTTATTGCAGCGATTTTTTTTTCTTTTTGTTCCGTCCTTATTCCGATGAGTCGAGCTTAGCGAGAACCTGCAATCAGTAATTTTTTTTTTAGATCTTGAGCCCTTCCTGCGATGAGATGAAACTTTATTCGAGCGAAGCAAATGGGAATCTGATAGGAGAACGTAAGAGGGGGTTGGAATATGCTCTCTTTGTCTACTGTCCGCAGAGTTTGTGCTGCCATTGATGCTGTTTCCGCAACCGTTATTGCTGCCGGCTTATCGAAATCACGAACCAAAACTGACCTCTCCGCCGCCGCCGCCAGCTGTTCGATCCAAGACCCCAATACTTTACCCACCATTGCTTCATGCAAAGCTGCACTTTTGAAGAAGGAGACAAAAACCATGCCAGAGGAGAGCACAATACCTGTCAGTGAACCTGCTCTCGTCAAGATTAAGAAGGAGAGGGACCCAGAAAAGCTATTCCATTTGTTCAAATCGAATGCCCACAATCGCCTTGTCGTCGAAAACCGGTTTGCCTTTGAAGATACTGTGTCAAGATTGGCCGGAGCTTCTCGCTTTGATCTCATAGAGCAGCTTCTAGAACACCAGAAGGCACTTCCTCAAGGCCGCCGTGAAGGGTTCGTCGTTCGGATTATAATGCTCTATGGAAGGGCTAGAATGCCAGATCAAGCCCGTAAGACGTTCGATGAAATGCACCTCTTCGGATGTCGACGAACTGTCAAATCGCTTAATGCTACACTCAAGGTCTTGTATGATAACCGGAGGTTTGATAATATTCAAGAGGTTATTGAGGAGACACGGGCTAAGTTTGGGATTGAATTCGATGATATTTCGTTTAATATAATTATCAAGGTTTTATGTGAGATGGGTCATTTAGATGATGCTTACTTGACCATGGTGAATATGGAGAAGTGTGGGATCAAACCCGACGTTGTTACGTATACCACTATCATGTCTGCATGTTATAAGCTTGGTCGACGAGAGATTGGTGATGGGTTGTGGAATCTGATGGTGCTCCGAGGATGCTCACCAAATTTAGCCACTTATAATGTTAGGATACAGTACCTCATTAGCAGACAGAAGGCTTGGCAAGCCAATAGTTTGATTCGCAAGATGGATTTTGTTGGCATAAAGCCGGATGAGCTGACTTATAATCTAATCATCAAAGGTTTTTGTATGATTTGCGAGCTTGAAATGGCTAAAAGGATCTTTATGTCTATGCATGGGAGGGGATGCAAACCAAACAGTAAGATCTACCAAACTATGGTGCATTATCTTTGTAAAGCTGGGGAGTTTGATATGGCATTTAGGCTGTGCAAGGACAGCATGGAGAGGAATTGGTTCCCTAGTGTTGACACCATTGATAGACTACTGAAAGGCCTTATGTCGATCTCGAAGGACCGCAATGCTAGGGAAATCATGAAGTTGGTTAGTGAAAGAAAACCTCCTTATTTGAAGGATGAGTTGGAGGCCTTTGGAGGCATATTTTCTCGGAGCAAGACACAGGAGAAATAATGATTTTGGAATTTTATGTTTTTGAATGTTGTGTTTTCTGATGGAGATGCCATTATTTCGATTCACATTCTTTATTGTTTCATCTACAACTAGACACGATATTTATGTAGATGTAGCAGAGGCTTCTGATGTTCTTCTTCAGACTGAATTGGTCATCATAGAGGTAGAAGGGCCAGAAGAGCGTAGAACAGTTGTTCCCTGGTAAGTTACATAGAGAACTTTTTATGTCCATTTATCATATTGAATTCATTGTACTGACAAAGATTTTTGAATGCCTTGAATAAAAATTCTGAATTCTTTTTCATACTTGCTCCTTAACATACTTTGTTATCATATTCCTTTATATATATACTTATTAAGAATCAAGGTTATCAATAGTTTCTTGAAGTGTTTCACAAGCTCACAATATTTAGAGTCTCATGATAATCAACTTATATGTTATTTAAAGTGATTGCATTCTAGTTCACATCAATGTTGTTCTCTTTCAAGTTGTTAACACAAAGCTAAAAGTTTTGCAATGCCTTTGCAATCTTTAGTTGTCCCGATGCAACCATTATACTAGAGTTCCTTCCAAAAAACTCATGTTGAACTTTAACTATTACCTACATTTTGGAAAAATCCTGAGTCCACCATCAAGCAAACAAGTGTCCGTAAATATTTAATCTTTAGCACTCATGGTGTACAAGCCCTGGGATATTGGATTTTGTGGTTCTCTTTTGAATAATTCATATAACCACGTCAGCTTGATGATTAATCTGTGGGCACTTGTGGAGGCTCACTCCTCGCTTTCATGAATGTAAATTGTGAAACCCCCAAAAAAATAAATTTACCTATTGTCCAACTGGCTTTCAAGATTTTTGACGCTACCACCTATTGCACATAATTTCCCTGGCCAAGAAGTTGGTCCAACCAGAGAAAGTTGATGTCAAGTTGACAGCAATTCTGGAAGTTTCTAAATTCAGTTATTTTTCAAAGCCACTCCTTGGTAACTAAACACTGTTTATGGCATCTTTACAGATGTCAGGAAAAGGAAATAATTGAGTGCAGAAATTGCTCACCCTCGTTGATGAATGAAGTTGACCTATCATCTTACTCATCATTTTCTTTCTCCTGTATACCTAAATTCCATTGGATTATGAAATTGAGCCAAATTTTGTTTTATTTGCATGACAACCCAAGGGATTTACCACCTCAGTTTAGTGGAAACCACCATCATCTTGCTCTGTGGTGTTTCCTATCTAAATATGGTTGGTTTTGGTTACATTCTACTTCTCCATAAAAATAGATCGACTAAATTTTACAATACAATCTAGATGTGACCTTCATGCCATGTCCTGAATTAGAAGTCAAAACTCCTCACCAAGTTAAACTTAATCTAAAGTAGGTTTTCCATCAACCTTGAAGGCCACTGGACTTTCAGGAAAATCAACCAGATTGCAGTTTAATGTTGTATAACCTCCAAAGTTTGCCTGGAATACAATCTGACCTACATGGAGGAAGTCGATAAGTTTTGCTTAACAGGTTGCATCATCTGAGATAATAAATATACCTTGGGCCAGATGGAAGCGTCTTTAACTCCGTTATAAAATTGGATCATATGAGAGGCAAATAAACCATGAGCCAGATGGAAGCTCCTTCCCTCTGTCATTATTAATGTGAGACAGCGTACTGTGATTGGCATACTGATGCAGGACAAATTAGTTCCTAACAAGTCTATCTACATCAATCTGTATCAGATGCAATTTTCGAATTTGTTCTGTGTCACATACATATACATTAAGTTCTTAAGAACTTGCTGAGATACAAATAAACCATGAGCCTTATAGAAGCACCTTCCCTGTGCTATTTCTAACTTCGCCATACATGTAAATTAAGCCGTTTAAAATTTTCATTTCAAACACTGGATCCAATCACTATGAATTAAGCCATTTGAACACTGGACCCAACTATTTGAAATTAGATGTATTTTTTATATATGATAACTAATTACAAAAGCTCAATGTTGAAAGCCAAAAACATGAAAGTAATATAAGATTCCCTGCCAGTGAAACTATAATTGAGTCAGTGGTGGTGTTGATGTTTGCCAACTAGGTGCAGTGCCATGTAGATGAAATGTTTGAGTAGTATCAATTAAGCTGTAGGAGGTTTGACTTTTTTTGTTTTTGCTTTTTCTAAAGTCTAGCTCACACAAATCCCTTAAACTGTCACATATTTTACAAGTTAACTCCTCATATGGAGTTTTTTTTGGAGTCGAACACTTAAGCTAATTTACCAGAGATAAATGCATTGAAGTTTCTCCCTTTCTTCATTACTACCCAAAACCCAAAAAAAAAAAAGAAAAATCCTCATATTGTTTTCTTTCATTTGCGAGAAGAAAAAAAAAAGTGGACGAATGGAGGAGAGATGGTGCTGCTAGTGGAGGAGGAAGAGGAAATGAGTTGATTTCCTTACAATTAGATTTTTTTTAATAATGAAAATCTTAGAATCAAGATGCTAGAGGGAAGCCAACATAGAAAGGTAAAAAGGAGGATGAGTTAATTATAATAATGGTGAGTTACAAAGAAGGAAAGGAAGGAAGTCTGTTCATTTTTATTAAGGTTAGAGATCAGTGAAATTGGAAATAAGAAAGGAGGAGTGTGATGACAATGGAGAAGTTAGTGGAGGCAGGGGAGGAAACATCTTTGATTTTATTATAATTAGGCCTAGCAAAAATGGGGATGATCACGTCGAAGGAAACAGAAGAATATAGAAAGGTGAAGAGGAGAAGATGATTATTGTGAGCAAGTAGACGATGGGAAATTTAGAAAAACAGAAATTGGAGGAAGAAGAGGATAATAAAGAGCCTTTAACTTGAAAAAGAACGGTGAACATGTTCAAGATAGTAAATTGTTAATAGTTTTTCAAGGTATTTATCAGTAGATAACTTCCATGTCAGGTACTTACCTACATAGAAGTGAAGTTTAGATTACCTGTAAGCAATTTTGTTTTTCATAAGATGACTAGGAATTTGTTCATAACCTCTTCCATTTCTTATGTTACTTCAAAATCATACAACTACATATTTCTTTTTCAATGGATCAGGTTGACCGTAGGAATTTCTTTTATGTTCGATCATAACAATGATACTACATTATGTCAATTGCTTGGGTTATAAGTTTGTGTTGCATATGCTTTCTGTCAAATATGTCTTCTTACAGGGAATAATTTGAACTTAAAGATTCAGTTTACCTCCTCAAATTAGGCATGTTTATTCACACCTTATTTGAAAAATATAACTTAAAGAGTGTGCATCTTGTTGGCTCTTACGAAAGAGAAGGCATGCGTGGTCAGTAAGGTTCCCTTGGCATACTGTCTTTAAGTTCTAAACAGTCTTGCCTGAAATTTTGACTTTCTACGGGAGAAACCAAATTCAGGTCAACCATTTCAAGTGTATAGATATGCCTGGTGGCGTAATATGCATGTTATATGCTGTGTATATATACAGTGGAGGTATCATATCCTGGATTTTCTAACTCCATGTAAAAACTTGCCATGGTTACAATTACAATTAGTTATGCAAAAGAAGGATACCTTACAGCTATTAGTTATATAAAACGTATTGATATTTCGTAATATGCATGTTATGTGCTGTGTATATATACAGGGGAGGTACATATCCTGGATTTTCTAACTGCATGTAATAACTTGCCATGGTTACAATTACAATTAGTTATGCAAAAGATGGATACCTTACTGCTATTAGATATATAAAACTTATTGATCTTTCGTATTCACTGTTTAACACTTGTGATTTATCCTCACTGTTTGTTCCTTTAACAGGCCAGTTGAAGGAGAAGGCTGTGGGAAAGCTCAAAATTAGTACCTGCTCACAGGAACCATTTTACATTTTTGATGTTTATAACTCATCACACTCAAATATTGCATTGTAACCTGATGTACCTTTTTGGTTGATTCTCGCAGTCAAGAAGTTGTCATCGTATACAACGTTTTCTTTTTCCATTTGTTTCCGCTCCTGCAACTAGTTTTGCTTCTCTGAGCAGGAGTCATCATAGATAAAGAAATGTTTCAAAATTCTCAGTGTTTATCCTGTTATGTGACAGTGCAATGAAATAATTCGCAGGATGCCTTGTTCCCCAGTGTTTACGATGCAAAGAATATGGATGATAACTGCAGAATCTCAACACATTCAGTAGGTTTTTGGATTCTGAAGGTTGTATAAAGCAGAGAATGTTATTCTGAATAAACGTGAAGCTTGAATTTACTTTTGCCTTTAGTATATGCTTGGTATCAAGCACAAACTTGGTACTTGGTAGTGAGGTAGCACATTCTCATCCGCTCTTGTCAATTATTCAATCCATGTGTACTCGTGTGAATGTGGTTCTCCTTTTTAAGTGGGCGAATGAGAATGCACCTTATTGCTAAGCATAAAGTTTGGTGCTTGGTATCAAACATATCCATATTCCTTCTATACATAAAATGGATATGCTTAGTATCAAGCACAAACTTAGTGTTAGATGATGAGATATCACATTTTCTTCCATTCCTTCTAATTATTTAACCCATGTTCATCAACGTGAATGTGGTCCCCACCCCCATTAAGCGTCAGATGTTCTGCAAACATAAAGCCGGATCATATTAATATCGGAGAAAAATCACATAAAATGAAAGTTATTAGCCACACCGGAACCAAGCTACAGCACAAAAACTTAGAAAGTGAAAAGGATTTGAAGCAATGTGGCTCCTACAAACACCATTCATTTCCAACGAAAAAGATAAAGACCCCCAACGCTCAAAAAACCTCCTCCTCCTCCTCCCTCCCCTGTTCACTCTCCCCTCCACCTTCAAAAATCTTCAAATACTCAACAGTCTCCAAAGATTTATGAATGGCGTTAAGAGTCCACTTCCCAACCTTGCCCCTCTCCTTCTCCTCCTCTTCTTGCTTCAGTTCCAACCTCTCAAAATTCCCAAGGCTCCAAACCAAAGCTCTCACCCCGAGAAAACCCGACAAAGCTTTTCGTCCAGGATTCGGTTCGCCGGTGAAGAAGATATCAGCATCTCTCCCTCCACTCGATCTCACCGAAGACAACATCAAACAAGCCCTTGATGATGCAAGGTCCGAGGCAAGTGCATCCCTCCGTAGCCTTCTTCATGTTAAGGTTGCGGGCGATTCGAAACCTCATTTTTTTTTTCTTTGTTTTTTTATGCGTTTTCATGATTCAGTTCCCTCAGATATTCGACGCGTCAGTCGGCATGACAGGTATCCTTCGAGATGATATTCTCATGATTTTCTTCGTGTTTGTTTAGTTTCTTTATCGAATAGCTCACAGCTGTTTGTGTCGCAGGGGAGGTTGATCTTGCAGAATTGGACGGACCTTTTGTGAAGATCAGCTTGAGAGGCCGGTTCTGGCACAAGAGATCGACGGTTCTTGCCAGGATCAGCAACTATCTGAAGATCAGGATTCCTGTAAATTTGCTCAATTCGTTTAAGCTACTAGTGTTGTATTCATTCTTGTGATGTACGTATTTGAGATGGTAATGACAATTCTTTTCTTTTTTTCTTTTTTTTTGGTAGGAAATTTTGGAGGTGGACATTGAGGACGAGAAGCAGTTGGATGACAGCCCGGCAAGTTTTTGAGGTTTGTGAGGGAATTCACTACTACCGTTGAGATAACTAGAGGATGTTGGGATTGTGCAGTGTGATTCTTATTGCGCTACGTTTGGGTACTTTGTTAACTTTGTACTCAAATGAACTACAATTTTTTATATTTAAAAAAAAAAATCACATTTGAGAGGATTAGAATCCCAGAACATTTTGGGATTTCTTAGGGCGCGTTTGGTTGCATTTTTTAGAGGGGGAAATGAGTTGAAAGCCTGCCAAAAATGTCAGTTTTGACAGGCTTTCTTGTAAAAACGTCTCTAAAAAAAACAAATGCTGAAATCACATAACAGTTTCTGACATACATAAGGAAAGGCTGTAACAATGGAGTTGATGAAAGCCTCCTCATGATGAGTAATAGACATTCTCTGGGTTTTAAAAGCAAGACCTGCTGCTGACTCCTCCGTCCAATTTATAAGGGGTTAATTGCACATAGACTCCTGTAGCTCGTTTTGAACTTACCACCATTGCTGTTTCAATTTTGAAGATAGATATCCTGGGTGAATTTTTTTACTTCCACTCTTTAATCCTGGATGAAATTTTGACAGAAATTGCCCCTGGTGAAACAGGTGAGTCTATCTGAAATAAAAGAGTAAGGGAAAAAAAATTCATTCGGTGGGTTTAATGAAACTATAATGGTAGCAGTTCAGAACAATGTTACTATAAGGGGTCTATGTGCAATTAACCTAATAAGTAATTGCCCCTCTACTCCTAAGTTCAGATTTTGATTTGCTTCCACAAGCTAAATGAACGGATAAGAGCCCACTTTACAGTTGAGGATCTTGACATGATACGTTTACATGCTAATAAAATTGGAGAAATTAGACTGACAATGTAGTATCAAGCTAATTTTCACTTTAGTTCCTATTCTAAAAGACATTATATCTTCAGAAGAGCCAACATTGGCACTTTGATGTTCAGGTGATCCTTTGATAAAAAAGTAAAACGGGATTCCTGATTAATCTTAACTATGAAGCTGCAAATTTTTCGGATGTTAAGGATGAAACACTAGTCCTTTTTTCCTCTCAAGATCTAGAGAGGTTTATTGCAAATTTGTAATGTTGTAAATGGGTATACATAGTAAAATCAATCTGATTTCTCTGTAGCTTGGATGGATTGAGTGGCCTATGCTATGAATGATGAATCCCCATTTTATTGGACTAAAGACAGGCATAATGGCCTATTTGGTTGCTAAAAAAGACAAAGAAACCACTTTACACCAAACCTATTTCTTATAAACTTTTCTTTTCTTTAGTCTGCTTCCCACTTTAAAGAAAAAAATATTAAGTGCATGTAGATCCATAGCATTAAATGTGCACCTAAATGATATCAAACGTTAAATTACTAGATTTCGGGTTTTGTATCCAGATCCAAAGATTGACATCCTTTAAGTGTACATGTGATGTCATGGACCGTCCATACCAAATAATTTCTCTATATTAAAATCAAGAAAAATGAGATGACACACTCTTATTGATTGATTTGATTACATTTCTAGGAAACCCATTGAGTTTTTTATAGTGAAAACACTTGTTGAAGACCTATTTAGAAGGTTTCTTTGTTAGATCCCGCAACCCCTAGAAAATCATCAAAACAGTAAAAGGGGAAAAAAATATTGAATACTTAGTAAAGATCCTTTGTTAAATAATAGAAGATGTAGTCCTTATGGGATACAAATTAAGACAATCCATGCATATAATGTATCAGTTTGGCAACTCTTGTCATGATATATAACTAGATTACACTGATTTAGTTCTGGATTGAAGGTAGAACAATCAAGAACTGGTTTGAGGCTAAAATTTAGTCTAACAAAATCAGTTTTAAGTTTTTTATAACTCGGTCTGGAATCAAACTCAACACCGTGAGAGCCATATTGGAATCTTTTAATAGTCCAGATCAACTATGGTGTGTTTAAAAATCAATTTAAATTTATATATAGTTTCTCGTTAAAGTAGGATTAATGTTGAACTTGTTTTCGTTTCACTAAATCAGTTTGATTCAATTGGCCAAACAGACGCATGTTTAGTAATAGGGTTCAATGATATTTCCTTTTTTCCCCTTAGTAGTAACATGATTCCATGTTACTGCTACTGGGTT